AGCAAATCATTGGCGCCTGGTGTACCCCCTGAATTCCGTCTCTAGTGTCGACGGGCGTCGATTCGCGTCTGGGAGTCGAGGGGATAGCCCGATGTAGCGTTGCTCAGCGCCGATTTGGCGTCGTTTCCACAGCAGCGCTCGGGCGTGTGCTTTTTTTTGGCGAGGACCATCGAGGCATCCTGGATCATCTTACAAAAACCAAGCACGGAACCGAAGCATGCACGGGGAATGGACGTCCCAGACCCCCGACGCCGTGACTTTTTTAAGCGTCGACCCACCCCCAGAGGTTTGGACCCCTTCCCCGGGACTGGCTTCTCATCCCGAATCATTGCTTCACGGCCCCGAGGCCCAGGAAGGGCCCCCAGAGTCCGAAAATAGCGAAAGCCCCCCCGCCGTGACTTTTTCCGCAACTCGGCAGCGGCTAAGAGGGGGGTGAAGATTAGGGAGGGTGGATATCATGGCCAGGGCCGTGATATCACCCCAGATTGTATGGCCCCTCTTCTTCTTTCAATGCGTTCCCTGCCTGCCCCCCCCCCCCCTGGTCCGCGCACATGCCTCGGGCCATGATTTGCACACCCCCCTCTTGGACCCCCCCGAACAGCGCGAGGAGGTCTGGGGCCCGAGCGATGCCACGTCGCTCTGGGCGTCCGAGCTGCGGCGGGGCGGGCCCCTCCGCGCGCTCCCGCGCCGCAGGCAGAGCCTCTCCGCTGCCCCTGCCAGCGCCTCCTCCTCCGCCTCCTCCTCCTCCTCCCCCTCCTCCTCAAGGGGCGGCCTGCGCTCCGCCTCGCGGCCCTCTCCGGGTCGTGCCCCCTCCTCGCCCTCCTCGAAGGGACCCAGGGGCAGACAAGCAGATAGACGCGCGTCCCAGGATCCCCCATATTGCCCGAAGTTTTCTGGGTATTCGCCTTCCCCCAACACTTTCCCCGTATTTTTCCATTTTGCCACCTGGGAATCGACGATAAATCGTGTGTGCGTGTGTGTGTGTGTGTGTATGTGTGTGTGTGTTTATGTGTGTGTGTGTGTCTTTATGTGTGTGTGTGTGTGTCTCCTCCTGACTCCTCCTCCTCCTCCTCCTCCTCCTCCGCCCCCGCTCGTCCTCCTCGGCATTTCCTCCGCCCTGGTCCTCCTGATTCTCTCCCCCCCTTCCCCCCTTGAGTCAAGGGGGGGAGTCAAGGGGGGGAGCCAAGGGGGGGAGTCAAGGGGGAGGGGGGGGCGGTGGAGGAGAAGAGGTCAAGGGCCTCGACCTCTTCTCCTCCTCCTCCTCCTCCTCCTCCTCCTCCTTTCCTCTTTTCCTCCTCGCGGCCCTCCTGGCCCTCCTGCTCCTGGCGGTCTATTTGGCAGTCTCCTCCTTTTTCTCGGGCTGGCCCGCTGGGCGCGCACACCAGCGGCGTCTCGCCCCCCCTCCCCCCCCTTCTCTTGCTCCAGCTCCTGCTCTTCCTCCCCGCCCCGCTCCTGTAAGAAAAACAGTTCGCCGCGAAACGTGGACTTTCGGAGGCCCGCGCGGAGTTCTCAGACTTCGTCTTCTTGCGCCTTTCTACCTAACAGCGAAGACTGATAGGTTTCTAATGGTCTCAAAAGAAAGCATCATGACTCCCCAGGGGGGTCCAGGCAGGATCCGGGGAGATCCGCGGAAGTCGTTTTAAGCTAAAAGTTACACACTTCGTGGTCTTCGAGGTCCCAGAACTCCATTCTGGGGCCACATTCTGAATGCCCGGAGCCAGTTGTAGGCCACTTCGTGGTCTTCGAGCTCCCAGAACTCAATTCCAGGGCCACATTTTGAATGCCAGGAGCCAACTGTAGGCCACTTCGTGGTTTTCGAGTTCCCAGAATTCGATTCCCGGGCCACATTTTGAATGCCCGGAGCCAGCTGTAGGCCACTTCGTGGTCTTCGAGTTCCCAGAACTCCATTCCTGGGCATGATGCTGAATGCCCGGAGCCAGCTGTAGGCCACTTCGTGGTCTTCGAGTTCCCAGAACTCCATTCCTGGGCATGATTTTGGATGCCCGGAGCCAACTGTCGTCCACTTCGTGATCTTCGAGTTCCCAGAACTCAACTCCTGGGCCACATTTTGAATGCTGAGGCAGGCTGAGGCTGAGGCTGAGGCAGGCTGAGGCTGAGGCAGGCTGAGGCTGAGGCCGAGGCTGAAGGCAGACTGAGGCTGAGGCTGAAGCAGGCTGAGGCTGAGGCTGAGGCAGGCTGAGGCTGAGGCTGAGGCAGGCTGATGCTGAGGCAGGCTGAGGCTGAGGCTGAGGCTGATGCAGGCTGAGGCTGAGGCAGGCTGAGGCTGAGGCCGAGGCTGAAGGCAGACTGAGGCTGAGGCTGAAGCAGGCTGAGGCTGAGGCTGAGGCTGAGGCAGGCTGAGGCTGAGGCTCAGGCAGGCTGAGGCTGAGCTGAGGCTGAGGCCGAGGCTGAAGGCAGACTGAGGCTGAGGCTGAAGCAGGCTGAGGCTGAGGCTGAGGCAGGCTGAGGCTCAGGCTGAAGCAGGCTGATGCTGAGGCAGGCTGAGGCTGAGGCTGAGGCTGAGCCAGGCTGAGGCTGAGGCAGGCTGAGGCAGGCTGAGGCTGAGGCCGAGGCTGAAGGCAGATTGAGGCTGAGGCTGAAGGCAGACTGAGGCTGAGGCTGAAGCAGGCTGAGGCTGAGGCAGGCTGAGGCTGAGGCGGAGGCAGGCTGAGGCTGAGGCTGAGGCTGATGCAGGCTGAGGCTGAGGCAGCCTGAGGCTGAGGCCGAGGCTGAAGGCAGACTGAGGCTGAGGCTGAAGCAGGCTGAGGCTGAGGCTGAGGCAGGCTGAGGCTGAGGCTGAGGCAGGCTGATGCTGAGGCAGGCTGAGGCTGAGGCTGAGGCTGATGCAGGCTGAGGCTGAGGCAGGCTGAGGCTGAGGCCGAGGCTGAAGGCAGACTGAGGCTGAGGCTGAAGCAGGCTGAGGCTGAGGCTGAGGCAGGCTGAGGCTGAGGCTGAGGCAGGCTGATGCTGAGGCAGGCTGAGGCTGAGGCTGAGGCTGATTCAGGCTGAGGCTGAAGCAGGCTGAGGCTGAGGCCGAGGCTGAAGGCAGACTGAGACTGAGGCTGAAGCAGGCTGAGGCTGAGGCTGAGGCAGGGTGAGGCTGAGGCTGAGGCAGGCTGATGCTGAGGCAGGCTGAGGCTGAGGCAGGCTGAGGCTGAGGCTGATTCAGGCTGAGGCTGAGGCTGAGGCTGAGGCTGAGGCTGAGGCCAAGGCGGCAGGCAGACTGAGGCTGAGGCTGAAGCAGGCTGAGGCTGAGGCTGAGGCAGGCTGAGGCTGAGGCGGAGGCTGAGAGGCAGGCTGATGCTGCGGCAGGCTGAGGCTGAGGCTGAGGCTCATGCAGGGTGAGGCTGAGGCAGGCTGAGACTGAGGCCGAGGCTGAAGGCAGACTGAGGCTGAGGCTGAAGCAGGCTGATGCTGAGGCAGGCTGAGGCTGAGGCTGAGGCTCAGGCAAGCTGATGCTGAGGCAGGCTGAGGCTGAGGCTGAGGCTCATGCAGGGTGAGGCTGAGGCAGGCTGAGGCAGGCTGAGGCTGAGGCCGAGGCTGAAGGCAGACTGATGCTGAGGCTGAAGCAAGCTGAGGCTGAGGCTCAGGCAGGCTGAGGCTGAGGCTGGCTGAGGCTGAGGCTGAGACAGGCTGAGGCTGAGGCTGTGACTGCGACTGCCGTTGCCGCTGCGACTGTCATCCTGAATGCGACTACGACTGCGAGAACAGCAGTATTCTACAACTGGAGTCTCATCTGAATCCTAAGGGGAATGCTTCCAGATATGCTCCTACACATCGCTGTTAGGTTGCTTTGCCGGGATATTATTATTATTATTATTATTGTTATTATTATTATTCTTATTGTCATTATTATTGTTATTATTATTGTTATTATTATTGTTATTATTATTATTATTATTATTATTATTATTATTATTATTCTTCTTCTTCTTATTATTATTATTATTATTAATAATACTATTATTAGTATTATTATTATTATCATTATTATTATTATTGTTATCATTATTATCATTATTATTATTTTTATTAGTCTTCTTGTTATTTTTATTTTTATCATTA